CACAGATGGCAGCGACCCCGAGACCACCAACTCGTGATCCGACAACAGGACGCCAAACGGGGGTATCATGGTCAACGTCGCCATCTTTTCTTGCACCTGTGCCAGCTGTCTCTCCTCCTGAAGATGAAGATGCCGGTTATAATGTTCATGCAGGGGATCCATTTGCACCTACTGACGCCAAACGGGGGTATCATGGTCAACGTTGCCATCTTTTCTTGCACCTGTGCCAGCTGTCTCTCCTCCTGAAGATGAAGATGCCGGTTATAATGTTCATGCAGGGGATCCATTTGCACCTACTGTAACACCATTAACCCATCCACGTTTTTGGACTCGGCCCTGATCAGGGCCGACTTCATTTAAAGTTTTTTTCTCGTACGACAAATTATGTACCGCGCTCGCGTGGAACCACAAAACCAAAATCACAAAGCTTTCTAAAAACATGTATTGATGTAGTTACAAACGTATTCACGAGACCACAAAGATGTCAATGCGATAAGCTGCTAGTCTGCGAATCCATCAATTAGACCACTCCAAATCTGATCAAAAACTCAGAATTAGTGTAGCGCCATTTTTTGTCAAGAGTTTTATATGTAAGCCGAGACAGGCATTACTTGAATCACTCATTTTCGCCGCTTTTTTGTGGCAGGAGGCCCTAGTCTGCCCAGAAATGATGCTTGCCCCGCTTCATATATCTCTACAACACGTTCCCGCTGGGCCAGTGGCATCTGGTGGAAGAGTCTCCAGCAATTTCTGTCCACTTCCACACAAAATGGCAGACAACAGCCGTTACCCAATTCACACCCAGCACATACTGAGCCGGCTTTGCTGTACTTCCCATTAGCCAAACAAAGTGTACACTTTCTTCTACTGTCGCGTCCTTTCTTCTGTGCATATCTTTTCTCAATGTGATGAGCAGGAAGTATGGAATTCTCATCCGCCGGTGGGAGACCATGTTCAACTGCAAAAATCCGGCTCCCCATAAAGTGATACACCAGTTGTTTCTTCAGCTCCAAAAGGTTCGGCCACTCCTTCCTCGGTATCTTTTTTGCAGCACAGTATAGGATCCCAGCATTCTCAATGCCAACATCCACATAGTAAAAGAAGATTCGGATCCACCAACGACGCAGCCCATGAAGTCGGGTTTCAGCGTGGAGACGTCTCTGGTCAGCAAAGTCCACGCCACCCATGTACTCATTGTATCTCCGTACTATTTCTGGCCTATTCAGGTCAATGATACCTCTTTCAGCTTTGCTCCGCCTTTTGCAGCTACCAGTTGGCCTGCAGTCCCCATCTGAGGTAAGGACAATGACAGGCTTGCGGTCTTTCCAGATCGTGAGACCAATAACAATGGTCTGACCCTTTGAATCCTCGAAAGTGTACACATGACACTCGTGGTACCCACGCGGCTTGTCTCTGGCATATTTGTTGGTCCATCGAAGATGCTTTGGGATCCGGTTGGCCATCACAGTGCCGGTGACAAACAAGTCACTTTCGTGAAGTTCCTTGATTACCTCGATTGAAGTATAGAACCGATCCACATAGACAGTTCTGTAGGAGCCATTGTATGGGTTACAAAGTCGTTTCACAACCTGCGTAGTCTTCTTCAACTCTTCAGATTGAATGTGTCCAGCACCACCAGTATACATTTCCACATTCAAGACATATCCAGAAGTGGATTCTGTCAAGACATACAACTTGATTCCATATCGCGCCGCCTTGGTGACAACTCGGACCTTAAATCCAATTCGTCCAAAGGCTCGGATTAGTGACTCGTCAAGGCTTAGTTGTTGCTTGGGCTCATAGAGATCTCTAAATCTTTCCAACAGTGCCCCAGAGAACTCTTGAAGTTTCTGGTTGGGATCTGCCGGGTCTGCATTCACGGGAGCAATATGGAGGCCACGCATGATCCTGGCAAATTTTCTTCCCGTCATGATTCTTCTGATTGGAGGACAGTTGATCAGTGGATCCTCAGAGAACCAAGCAAAGGTCCATCCCGCCTTCTTTGGCATGAGGCAATCCAAAGAACAGAGAGAGTATCTATGAGATCGTCACATGTGACGTCCTTCCAATCAGCACCCTTTAATGCGGATCCATATTCGTTTGTTCTCTTCACTACATTAGACATAATTCTCTGTGTGAAAACGGAATTAAAAGCCTTAGGAACACTATTGAGGCTTCCAGGTGCATGTTGTATGCCCTTCCTTCCAAAAGGGATTGAAGGTTCGTCCTGATCTTTGGTCCGAGTGGCTGGCGGGCTTTGAATAATAGTTCGGCGCTTCTCTTCAAACTTTGTTGGAGAATCAACACCCTCAAACGTTGTTGATGTGATCCAGCCTTCTTTTGGTGGAAGAGTCTGTTGAGGAATTCCTTCTTCATCATCTTTGTCAGTAGGATCCGGCTCCGCAAGTTGGTAGCGCTCGTCAGCTTCCATGAAAGAGCCAGCTGACTCCGCAAGTGCTTCTTCAGGCGCCCAACAGGTTTCGTCTTCCGCCACAACCGTCAGAGCTTCTTCTTGGGAAACAGGACTCTCTTTGGACCATTCGAGACGAGTCAATAGGGTTTTTCTCTTTGACCAAATGGGTGGATGCTTAAAAATGTTGACTAATGCTTCAACATCAGCCATTGCTTGATGAGCGCCATCGAGGTCCTTTCCTGTGATATACTTGTACATAGTCGCAAGCTTGAAGTTGTGTGGGCGAATAATTCCATAAGGATAGTCCTGGTGCTTTACCCATAGATATGGATCAATCTGAAATGTAATGTTGGGACAGATCTCCACTCCGTGAATTTGGCAATTTGGCATTGCTCCAATAGAAATGGATTGTTGAAACTTTTTCCGTTGTATGCGACTAGGCATACCTTTGTGCAGGGATCATTCCCAATATTCTTCTTGATCCAGGTCATAAATGCATTTCCAACAGTCTTGAAGTCGCTTTTATTCCTCAGCTTGGCATCTGTGATGCCATGGATTGCAATAGAGTCGCTAACACCCTGTCTTGGTTTGACTAGTGAATAAAATGGTCCAGTCCCGGCAAGTTCATCTCCTTCGTTATCCAATCCAATGGCATACAATTCAATGATTTCATTCAATATTTTGGAGAATCCCGTTGTTTCAATATCATAGATGATGTAGATGACCTTGATGATGGTTGCTACGCTTGCTAGTACTTGATTTCCCCTTGGTGTATTCGGAACATCAGTTGGTGTCAAATTTTGATGTTTGCATGGGCAATCCAATGAATTCTTTCTGTGACCAACCAAGCCACAGGCACTACACTTTGGTGGCTTCCTTGGTTTGGTCTTGGCTGCAGCCTCTGCAACTTTGGGGCTTCCAGAGGGTGTCATTGGTGAGGAATGGATGATTGATTGATTTTCATTGATTCGACTGAATCCAAGCCAAAAACACAATTTCGGTGAAAAAGAAAATGACCTGTCATTGCTCGAGAACATTACCTTGGAACCTAAGTTTTTGAGGCATGCTTCTACTGTATTACAATAATATAGGTGTAAAATCGTATTGTCTAGTTCCATCATTAACCCATTCAACGGATGTGATTTGTGCTGAATTTTAGGGACTCGGCCCTGATCAGGGCCGTCTGACCACCGATGGGTTAAAGAGGCAGCATCTACCATTTCAACAGTCTGGACGAACAACTACACCGCGTCCTCATAGAGACGAGGCGGACTGGACTTCCCCATTTGCGTCCAACAAGCGTCCGAGGATGGATGTTAGGGACCATGAAGGGCCATTTGAACCAACTCCGTCTCCTTTTCGGGGGAGCCCAAGTCCTCCTGTTCCTACAATGCATGATCCATTTGCACGGGCACCATCTCCGTATCACACAGCGCCAGTCCAGCAGTCGCCGTTCCATCCTATGCCAGTGCAACAACATCCTCACGTGACTCCGGGCGTGTATCACACGCCGTCGCCATACCAGCCAACGCCACCGTCGCAGTATCCACATTCACCGTACCCACACCCAACATTCGTGCCTGACGGAATGGGTGGATACTATCAGACAATGGTAAATCCCGCTGCTATGATCCCGGGACATCCTCATGGTGGCCTTGTTTACTCGCCTGTTGTTGCAAAGCCGGGTGCTCTCAAGATTCGACTAGAGTCAACGAAGCACGCGGCTATTTCCACACCGGAACAAAGGACAATATGTCCGCCTGTGTTCTTATCATGTTGTTTTTGGTTGCTCCAAGACATTGGTGATGTGGGTGCTGGTGTTGTTCATTGCAGAAAAGATGGCGAACCAGCAAGACAAGTGTCTTCTGAAGCTGTCTTTCGAATCCTCATGCCATCGGAACTTGGACGACAGGTTATGTCAGGAATGCAGCTGCAGTTGCCATGGTCCGGGTGATAAGATATCGTGCCAAACTGTCACTTGGGCCGTTTGGATCGTTACGATTACCCTCCAAGCAGCTGTTGACTACTGTCATGGATAGTGTCTTTGTCCGGAATGGTTTGGACATGAACACATGGAGTGTGGATCCAGAAAGACCGCCCCCTATTGACACCAAGAAACAATTCTCGGTATTGTCCTTCCTTCCTTGTTTGGACACTGGTATGTCTTCTACCATGGTTCTACGCGGGGGTATAACTCTTGACCAAGCGAGGCAACTGGGAATGATCATCTACTATTTCTTTGCCATGCTGAGTGCTAAGAAGCCAACCTATGATGGTGCAGATTATGATGATGGGGATTTTCAGCGTTCCATCTTCGGTAATACTCTGTTTTTAATGTGCAATACTTTGATGCAGAATGGGGATTTGATGCGATTGTGGATGAGGTATCCGGAAATGTGTACCACGGAATACATTCGTGACCTAACGGAGCTTTTGTACCACTTGAAGTCGTTTGTGGATTACCAGTCTGGGGCTGATATGGGTCATTATGGCATACATGAGGCTCGTCTTGCAAGTCATCCTAACTTTCCTTTCATGGTCGTCTCCTCTTCGATGGAGAGTCGGCGAAGTACAACTCGAACTGCCCATCTAAAATCGGCTATTCAAAAATATCGGGATGCAATGTATGACAAGTGGGATAAAACCTACTACAGCTTACAGGATCCAATCTGGTCGTCCCCTTGTATTTCTGTTTTTCTACAGGCATCGAATCAAGCTTCTGGAGGTTCCGATCGGTCATCTCGGAACAAGCTATTGCACGATGATCGCAATGGTCCTCCTAAGCCTGGAAAAGACAAGGAGAAGGATAAGGTAGTATTTGTTAATGGTATTCCACCTTTTGTGTGGAATGAAGCACGGACTCCGATGAGGGGACAAGATCCAGTTGTTGCCTTCCAAAGTGCCAAGGTGCCTAAAGGTGGATATCCTCACCTCGAAAAACCAAATAACAACATGAATGGTAAGAAGATGATATACCCAATCTGTCTGAATTCTGCTTTCAAGAGCCATCGAAAATGTCATGATAGCGCAGCATGTAAAGTATTTGCCAAACATGGCAAGCCGGGTATTGGAAGAACTCGAGTACACATTGATCTTGAAGATGTTAAATGGTCCAACGCCAACTACCCTGAAGCAAACTGGAAAGACGTTGTTGCTTTTGTCAAGAAATACAATGACTATCTATTACCAACAGAAGCATTCAAAAGATTGACGCCCAGCACACAATGGTGATGGGAGCCGTTGCCGCCCGAGGGGGCCCAGCTAAAGTCACACAAATCTCCCATGGTAAACTCGACTTCTGTCACTTTACAGGTGCCGCCAAGACGTCCTTTTCGTCGCACTCCGGGACCAAAGGTCAAAAATCGGTGGCCAGGTAAAGGAGATTGGCAGCATTTGGAATATGTTGAATTACCATTGCGCATCGTAACGTGTGTGCCAGTGGGTGAAGAAAACTTGACGACTACAACGGGGACAATGCACATCCAAGTACCTGGCTGTGGACAAGTTCTACCTACACTGATGACAGTGGTCCATCTAGTCCAAGCTTCTGGTTTCTTCACCAATGACGATTATACTATGATGGAAAAGACTCATTACGCTTTGATAAAAGATTTGTTGGTACTTCCATTTCCCATTTCCCGCCCGTGGTCACCTTTTCAAAAACGGCAATGGGGTTTTGGTAAATGGCACAAAGACAGGTTGAGTAACCATGATAAAGTGAACCCGATCTCTATGATTCACCATGCTTGGAAATCCTTGAAGTTGAAGATCGAAAGGAGGTTGTTCTAACTTGTCGACAATGGAAGAAATATGTGGAGTTGCGTCGCTTTGCGTCAGTCACATCTCTCGTTTGTTTGCGGGAGGAACGTCCCATGCCGTTGGCAGGAATTCCAACTACCTTGGATCCTCATCGCGCGTGGCTTAATTCTGCAGGTTTATTGCGGTTTGATTTCCACCATGGCGATTTTGTGCGCTGGCTTGGTGGCAAATATGTCAATCAAGGTCGGGATTTCAATGCCAAATGGGATATTATCGAAAAGACAATGGATGGCAAGACCGTTCCAAAGGAATATCCTCCTGTGAAATTTGACATGGCGTACCGGATTCAAACTGAGGGAGTTCCACTACGTGCAACCTATACAACTCCAATGGAAGCTACTATCTTACGCAATGCCTACGATAACCATCCTGCAGTATCCGCGAACATGGAAAAGGTCGAGGAGAAATTTGCGAAGGAAGAGTGGAAAGCATACCATATCCACTATCTGCGTTTTGTCTATGAATTCATACCTGGGCTTGTGATCAATCCTATTCAGTGGGTTTTTGACAAAGGAAAAGTGACAGAATTCTATCAGGAACGGGATTCGTGACCCGGACCATGATTATTCACGGTTGAAGTGAAGTCTGTGCTTTGTACGTATTGTACCTGCGCAGACCGTTCTCAGCCAGTGATATTATCGTAGAAAGAACCGACGTGGCAGGTTCCGCAATCG